CCACCTTAGGTGTACGTGGCTGGCGCCTTAGCCGGTTGAGCTATAGGCGCCGAGCCAAGAATGGACCTTTTCTAAGTGAAAAGTCATCCTTTTGGATCAAGTTCATGGTTTCATATGAAGCAATCATGGAAAGATGAGGAAATAAGTAGATATTGCAGAACCAGAGACATAGCAGAATGGTCCTTCAGGATCAGTGAAGTGTCAGTTATCATAGCCAGATTGTTTCTGACAGCATAGTAATTTAATGTGTATTGATTTTTCATATGAAATTTAAAAATTCAACATACCATACAAATCTACGATCTTTGCTTAATCTATTTCTTATTCTCTGATGAATCTTTATAAAGTCTTATATTAGCTCCGTTAAATATAAAATTAAACCTTTTAAACATCATAAAGATCCAAAATTGGTGGAGTAGAGCATGCTCACTCTTCTAACCAGGAACTGTGAGTCCTCTACATTTGTCTTTCTTTTCAAAATGTTTTTTTCTCTTTGTAATCTTAGATTCCCATATGAATTTTAGCCTCAGCTTATCAAATTTTGCACAAAAAGGACAGCTGTAATTTTCACAGTGATTGCAATGAATCTGGAGATTAATTTGGGAGTATTATCATCTTAATAATATTAAGTCTTCAGGTTCATGAACATGGGATGTCTTTCCACCTATATATATCTCCTTTAACTTCTTTCAACAAATAGCTTGCTGTTTTCACAGCGCACGTTTTCATTTTTGCTAAACTTATTCCTAAGTATTTTATTCATTTTAATGCTATTATAAATATAATTGTGTTTCTAATTTTATTATCAGGATCATTCATTGCTAGTACCTAGAAATACAACTGATGTCTGTTTATTGAGCTTGTATACCACAAACTTGCAGAACTCAATCATTAGCTCTAACAGTTTTTTTTTTTTTTTTTTTTTTTTAGTGGCATCCTCACAGTTTTATATACAAGACCACGTCACATACAACTAGAGATAGTTTTGCTTCTTTCTTTTTAACTTGGATGCCTTTTATTTCTTGACTAATTGCCTGGGATAGAAACTACAGTGCAACATTGAATAGAGGTGGCAAGAGTAGACATGCTTGTCTTGCTTCTGATCTTAAGAGGGAAAGTTTCAGTCTTTCACCATGAACTATGATATTAGCTGTGGGATTTCTGTTGATGCCCTTTATGAGGATGAGGGAAGTCTCCTTCTATTCCGAGGTGTTGAGTGTTTTCATTATGTTTTCTTCAGTTCTTTTGGTTTTTCTCAAAAATGGATTTTTCTATGTCTGTAGAGATAATTGTGTAGTTTTCTCCCTTCTCTCTCTCTCTCTCTATATATATGGTGTATTACACTGATTGATTTTCATATGTTGAAAGAACCTTGCATTTCTAAATTAATTTGATCATGGTGTAAAATCTTATTTGTATATGTTGCTGAATTTGGTTTGGTAGTATTTTGTTGAGGATCTTTGCATCTGTGTATATTTATAAGAAATATTGTTCTGTAGTTATTTTCCTTATCACATTTCTTGTCTAATCAACCTGGGAAGTATTCCCTGCTCTTCTATTTTTGGGGAAGAGTTTGTAAAGGATTAGTTTAATTCTTCTGTAGATGTTTGGTAGAATTTATTCATGAAGCAATCTAGTCCTGGAATTTTTCTTTCTGGGAAGTTTTAAAATTATTGTTGAATCTCTTTACTTGCTAAAATAAATGAAGTATATTTCTGTTTTGTTTTGAGTCCATTGTTGTGTCTTTCTAGGAATATGTTCATTCATCTAAGATATTTAATTGGTTAGTATATAGCTATTCATAGTATTCTCTTAAAATCTTTTTTATTTCTGTAATGATATTTCCTCTTTCATTCTTGATTTTAGTAACTTAAGTCTTTTGCCCTTTTTTCTTGATCAGTCTATGTGATGTTTGTCAATTTTATTGATCTTTTCAAAGTAATAATGTTTTATTTTGTTGATTTTCTTTTTCTAACAATTAATAACACACCTTTTGGGAAATTATGCACCTGGTTGACTTGATCTTTAAGCAGACAATGCTGTAAAAATTAATGGCTTTTAAGCTATTTATTATAAATTCTAGTTCTGATCTCTTTCCAGTGCTGCACTCTCTTGTGGTTTTGTTGATTTTCTGTATTGTTTTTCTGTTTCCTTAATTTCTGTCCTAATTTTTATTACCTCTTTCCTCATTGTTTCTTTAGGTTTAGTTTGCTCTTTTTTTATCTAGTGGCTTAAGATAAAAGATTAGTTTATTGAGGCTTATAAAAAATATTTAGAAGGCTAGGCATAGTGGTTCACACCTGTAATCCTAGCATTCTGGGAGGCTAAGGTGGGTGGATTGCTTGATCTCAGGAGTTTGAGACCAGCCTGAGCCAGAGTGAGACCCCCATCTCTAAAAATAGACAGGTATTGTGGTGGGCACCTGTAGTCTCAGCTACTTGGGAAACTGAGGCAAGAGAATCACTTGAGCCTAAGAGTACAGGTTGTTGTGAGTTATGATGCTATGTATTCTATTGAGGGCACAAAGTAAAACTCTGTCTCAAAAATAAATAAAGAAATGAAGATAAAAAATATACAGGTATTTGCAGCTATTAATTCCCCTCCAAACACTGCTGTGAATACATCTCACAAATTCTGGTATGTTGTATTTTCATTTTCATTCATTTCCAATAATTCTCTAATTTCACCTTTGTTTTCTTCTTTAACTCACTAGTTATTTACAGCAAGTTGCATAATTTTCACATATTTGCATATTTCCAAATTTATTTCCATTTTTTAATTTCTAATTGCATTGCAAACAAAAATAGACTTGATTTTTTTAATGATTTTCAGTCCTTTTAAATTTATTGAGACTGGTTTTGTAGCCTAACAAGCTCTGTATCTTAGAAAATGTACTATGTAAATTTTAGAATTTTAGAAGCTAATTGCCATTAGCTTGAGTTTATCATAGATATCAATTAGGTCTAATTGGTTCATAGTATTGTTAAAGTTTTCTATTTCCCTGTGGTTCTTCTGCCTATTTATTCTACACATTACTGAAAGTGGGATATTGAAGCATACAACTATCAGTGTTGATTTTTTTTTTTTTTTTTGAGACAGAGCCTCAAGCTGTCCCCCTGGGTAGAGTGCTGAGGCATCACAGCTCACAGCAACCTCCAATTCCTGGGCTCAAGCGATTCTCCTGCCTCCGCCTCCCAAGTAGCTGGGACTACAGGCACCCACCACAATGCCCAGCTATTTTTTTTTTTTTTTTTTTGGTTGCAGCCATTATTGTTTGGTGGGCCAGGCTGGATTCAAACCTGCCAGCTCAGGTGTATGTGGCTGGCGCCTTAGCTGCTTGAGCCACAGGTGCTGAGCCTAGTGTTGTTTTTTTTTTATTATGTGTTTCTTAAATTCCTTCAGTTTTTCTTTCCTATACTTTGGGGCTCTTTTGTTAAGTACACATATACTTATAATGTTATGTCTTCCTGACAGATTGACAAATGTCACTCTTTATTAACATTTTTTGTTTTAAAATTTTGTCTTATATTCATACGTCTCTCCAGTTTTCTTATGATAGCTATTTGCATGATATATTTTTCTTATGCTTTTACTTTCAATCTCTTTGTGTCTTTCAATCTTGAGTGTGCTTCCTATAGACAGTGTATCATTGGACCCTGTTTTTTAAACCCAATCTAACAATCTATCTTTTTACTGGATTGCTTGATACATTCACACTTAATGTTTAATACATGTTATTTCTGTAAGGTCAGTAGTGGTATTTTCTCTTTTATTCTTCATTTTAGTAACTAGAGTCTTTTGTTTTTTGGCATGGTTGGATTGACATCTCCCATTTTACTTTTAGTTTTCTATGTGTCTTATATTCCTCCTTTATTTGCCTTCTTCTGCAACAAGTGAATATTTTTCTAGCGTGACATTTTAATTATTTTAATATTTCTTAAAGTTTATTTTCTTATTTTCCTAGTGATTGCTTTAGGGGCTATCATAGGGGTTTCACACAGAATCTATTTCATATTTATACTAACTTAATTCCAATGAGTTATGAAAATTTTCCTCCTGTGTACTCTAGTCCCAATTTCCTTTTGGTGCTATAATTGTTATATATATTACATACCTAACAATACATTATTGTAATTTTATTGTATATTATTTTATGCCTTTTAAAGAACCTGAAGTAAGAAAGGAGGTCAAGTGTATGTTTATAGGGTTTGTTATTTAACATTTCTGCTTTTACCTTCACCTATCTTAAGCTCTTTTACCGAACTGTGTGTTTTGTCTGTTTCCAACCATCTTGAATTTTCCCCAAAGCCTGTGATAATTACACTCAGCTTACCCAAGCCCCCAGTTTTCTATTCATTGCCTTTGCACCAGGCTAAAAATTATGCATCATTAGCCTAAACCCAGTATAGCTCTTCTAAGCCTGGATATTATCATCTTCATTGCAATATTTTATCCATAGCTATATAGCACAGATATGCATATTAATGACAAGTTCTATTGATGTCTATACTTTAAAAATGAGTACTTTATATCTAAAATCTGAATGTCTCCCTTATATTTGTACATTATTTTTTAGTGAGTTAAGTCTTCGAGAGATACACAAGCTTTACCTGTGTCAGTTTAGAAGAAAGTTTAATCTGATGTGACAAATTAAGATCCCTATATTCCCTAGGAATTTGTGTCAATTTGTCCTCATGAAATTAATAAACTGGTATTATGTATTAGAAAAGAAAAAGTAGCTATTCCTAGTAAACACAAAATCAGAATGTTATAGAATATAAAAAATGTATGTTTTTAGTCCTATAAGTTTGAAATAAGAAAATAAATTTGCTAAAAATAGATCCACTAACAGCGAATGCTCTGGAAATCAATTCACAAATAACTGATCACTCAGTGACCAGTGAAGCAATGACTAAAGACACTGAAACATGATCTTCCCTAATTACTCATAATGGCTCACTCATTTTAGATGGCATTAAAGTTGCTTATTTCATATCTGATTATCTTCGATAACTTGATAAACATTTTATTAAGCAAAATATCCTATATTAATTTATGGTAATTAAAACTTGCTACAATATTCCCTGGTCACCAACTCTATTTCTAAAGCTTATGATTAGTACATAGATAAGGTTTGTTTTAGGTTTTTATTCAGAATTAAGAGAATAAATAAGTTATTTAATATACACTGAAGTCACACATATACACAGTGACTTCAGGGTATTGTAAGATGTCTCCTTTTACTATAATTATGATTTACAATAATAAATTATATCAAGGTATACAATAATAAAAATAAACTTACTTCTGTGGGAAAGTAACGAATATCATTAAATGATAAATTGAGATATATCAATTGGAAAGCCAAAGGTGATAAATCTGGACAATTCAAGATAAAAAAGCCCTAAAAGAACAGAGATGGGAGAAAAGATGTTAATTGACAATGCACAGAATACTTTAAATAAGAGAAAAACAAAATGAGTACATAGTCTGAGGGGCAATGTTTGACACAATACACTAAAAACCTACCACTCATCTTCTATTAATTCTTTTAGCTCATCATAACAATAATTTCGTAAGTATGTATAAGATAGGAACACAAAACTAAAAACACTTCTATGTACTTCTGTATGTGATAAGTATAGCATTATATGTGTAACAACACTATTTCAATTAATAACAAGCAAACAGTTATTGATTGCTGGCTACATGCTGAAGTATATATATATATCCTTATATATATATACTTTATATATATAAGTAATGGAATCCATTTTATATTTAATGAACTAGTTTATCCCCTATTTCTATTTCCCTGTTATCTATTTATTAATCTAAAATCCACATAAAACTCCTTGTTAAATATGCCAATTTATGATGGTGAAAATATGGATGTTACGTCTTGCTATGGGCTGAATGTTGTGTTCCCCCTCAAATTCATGTGTTGAAGCTCTGATCCCCAGTAGTACAGTGTTTCTTAGGTTTAGATGAGGTCATTAGGGATCCCTGGATGGGTTCAATGCCCTCACAAGAAGAGAGGACCAGAGGATTTTTCTGTCTCTGCCACGTGAAGATACAAGAAGGTAGCCATATGTAAGAGGGCCCTCACCAGATCTACAGCACCTTGATCTTGAACTTCTCCCCCTCCAGAACTGTGATAAGTAACTGTTTTTTTTTTTTTTTTTTGAGACGGAGCCTCAAGCTGTCCCCCTGGGTAGAGTGCCATGGCATCACGCTCACAGCAACCTCCAACTCCTGGGCTCAAGCAAGTCTCCTGCCTCAGTCTCCCAAGTAGCTGGGACTACAGGTGCCCGCCACAACGCCTGGCCATTTTTTGGTTGCAGCCATCATTGTTGTTTGGTGGGCCCGGGCTGGGGATTCGAACCCGCCACCTTAGGTGTATGTGGCTGGCGCCTTAGCCGCTTGAGCCACAGGCGCCGAGCCGTAACTGTTGTTTATTTAAGTCATGTATCCATAGTATTTTGTTATAGCAACTGACTAAGTTATGTCTGGTGCCTTTCCCCCACCACCCAAAGAGGCAAGGAATTTGTGGCCTTTGACACAGGTCCTTAAATGCAGCATTTTGACTGAATCCTAATTCTGCAGTACATATCCTTTTGTTAAAAGGGATACAGCAGAGAAAGGTAAATCTTTTCTTGCATCTTTTGGGAGTGCTTTAAAAAGAATAATCTTGAAACCAGAAGGCCACAGGTTCCCCACCCCTGGATAAGGAATCATGCTGTAGCATATACTATATAAAAATAAAAAAGGATCATGATTAGTGACCCTGGAATTGACAGCATTGGATTCAAGACTAACTTATTAAAAGTATTAATATATATCAATGTCTACTCTTCTCTTTATATATATAGAACTAGTTGTACACTAAGTTAGGTAGCTAAAATGTGTCACAAGCTCTAATTATTCTACTTAGTGTGCTCAGAGTACCTTCTTTGGGTAGATGTAAAATTACTGGCTTTGCATTTCCTCCTGCCAGAAAGTCCACCCCCTTCTACCATCCCTGCCATGAATTATAGTCTCACTTCACTCAGCCGCCTGCTTCTTCTCAGCCATTTGGCCATACGTCATCCAACTGGGAAGGCCCTCCCTGGCCGATCTCTCATAAATGGCTGCATCTCAAATCAGTGCCCATTCTACAGCCCACTAGAAGTCCAAGATTGATGTGCTAGTAGATCTAGTTCCTCCACTTGTTTTATTTTTCTTCAGAGCTTTTATGTATATACACAAAATATATATATGTATGTGTAATCTCACTACACTAAAGTTTAAGCTCCATGAAATAGACATTTTGCCTGTTTTGTTCACTGATACATAGTGAGATACTCAGTTTAGCATTTGTTCATAGAGGGTTCTTAATAAATATAGAGTGAATGAGTGGATAACCAAGATTTTCAGGTTGCCTCATGGATTCCAGGGACCTTCACCATGGATACAAACTGAGACCTGCCAACCCGAGGTCCCTGGATCTCTTTCTTCTGATCCCATCATAAAAGTTGTTTGTTGTGGTTATCATGGAAGAAATATGAAGAGCTAAATAGCACAAAGAATGTGGAGGTTTTCTCAGTCTCTTGAATTACGTTAACAACTATTAAGTAGTTATGTACTGAGCCCGTAGCATATTAATTACTACATTTGTGTAAAGTATTATTCAAAAACCTATTTATTTAATAAGCCCCTGAGATACATTAGGATTTAGGACTTTTGTTTATTTTATATCGCCCACACAGAGCTGAGAATTCTGTTCTGAAGCCAAATATTTCTTTTATTGGCTGGGGAAATAATTATTTTTCTTGAATTTGATGCAAGTCTTTTGGTTTTATTTCAAAGATGCATTATAAAATTGTTTTCTTTTTGGGAAGGGAAGTGTTCAACAAAAACCCTTGTAAGCAAATTTTGAGATTAATACACGTTTCTTTCTGCATTGGTATTGATAAGGACTAGTTCACATTATCCAGGTGTTAAATGCAAATATATTCTTATTTTTCTTAAAGATGCATCATAAGCTGTTTTCTATCAGTAAATGGAAGGAAGTACTTGGCAGAGAAACACCTTGATAAGCAAAAGTTCAGAATATGGTATTATAACACATTTCTTTCTACATTTATCCATATTACATCAGTTTACATAGCTATCTGGCTTTAAAAGGGAAATGTAAGCATGCTTTCTTAATGATGTATCATAAGCTGTTCTCCTTCAGTGAAAAGAAAAGTTTAACAGAAACATTTTGAGAAACACATTTTGAGAATATGGAGGGTTTTTAAAATTTGTGTAAGTTTAAAGGGTACAATGACATTTTATCACATAGATATATTTAGTGGTGAAGCCTGGGCTTTTAGTGCAAACCCACTCAAATAGTGTACTTTGAACCCAGTAAGTAATTTCTCATCCCTCCTTTCCTCCCACCCTTCTGAGTCTCCAGTGACTACTGTTTCACACTCTATGTCCATGTGTACACATTATTTAGCTCCTGCTTATAAATGTGAACATGTGGTATTTGACTTTCTACTTCAGAGTTGTTTCACTTAAAATAATGGCCTCCACTTCCATTCATGTTGCTTCAAAAAACAGGGTTTCATTTGTTTTGTGGCTGAATACTATTCCATTGTCTATATAACATATCCCACATTTTCTTCATCCTATCATCTGTTGATGGAATCTAGGGTTGATTTCATTTTTTTTGCAGTTACGAATGAACATACAAGTTTAGTATTGATGTAACCATTTCTTTTTCTTTGGGTAGATACCCAATAGAGGTATTGCTAGTCAGAATGGTAGTTCTGTTCTTAGTTCTGCAAGAAATCATCATATTGTTTTCCATAGAGGTTGTACTAATTTACCTTCCTACCAACAATTTATTAGTGTCCCTTTTTCTCCACATCCTTCTCAACATCTGTTAGTTTCTAACTTTTAGCCATTCGGACTGGTGTAAGATGCTATCTCACTGTGGTGTTAATTTGCATCAAATTAAATGGTGAGGACTAGTGATGTTGAGTATTTTTCATATGCTTCTTGACCCTTTGCCCATTTTTTAATGAGGTTGTTCTTTGTTGTTGATTTGTTTGACGCCCTTGTAAATTGTGGACATCAGTCCCCTATCAATGCATAGTTTGCAAATATTTTCTCCCATTCTGAAGACTATTTCATTTTCTGTGTAGAAGCTTTTTTAGTTTAATTAAGTACAATTTGTCTATGTTTATTTTGTTGCTTGTGGTTTTGAGGTTTTAGTCATGAGTTCTTTGCCTAGACCATTGTCCAGAAAAATTGTTCCTAGATTTTCTTCTAGCACTTTAATAGTTTCAGGTCTGGCATTTATGTCTTTGATCCACCTTGAGTTGACTTTTGTATATGGTGAGAGACAGAGCCAGTTTCATTTTTTAGCATGTGACAAATCAATTTTCCCAGTACCATTTATTAAAAAGGGGTGTTCTTTACCCAGTGTTATCTTTTTGTTCACTTTGTAAAAGATCAGTTGGCTGTAGATATTTGGCTTTATTTCCAGGTTCTCAATTCTGTTCCATTGATTATTATGACTATTTTTATACCAGTCCCATGCTGTTTGTTAATATAGCCTTGTAGTATATTTTGAGGTCAGGTTATGTGATGCTTCCAGCTATTTTTTTTTTTTTTTTTTTGGTTAGGATTGCTCTGCTTATTCACGCTCTTTTTTGATTTCACATGAATTTTAGGATTTTTTTTCTGATTCTGTGCAAAAATGGCATTGGTATTTTGATAAAAATTGCATTGAATATGTAGATTACTTTTCACAGTATAGCCATTTTAGCATTATTCATTGTTCACAGCCAAATTATACTAAACATAAAGAGAAGAACAGGTACCAAGCCTCCTAAAACTGTACTAAAAAGATTGAGGAGGAAGGAATCCTCCCTAATTCATTTTATGCAGCCTCTATCACTTTGATACCAAAGCCAAACAAGGACACAATATTAACAACAAAAAGAACACTACAGATCAATACCCTGATGAACATAGATACAAAAATCCTCAACAAAATACTTGTTAAAGAAATCCAACAGCACATCAAAAAGATAATACACCACGATCACATAAGTTTGGTTCCAAGGATGCAAGAATGGTTCAACATATGTAAACCAATAAGTATGATTTATCATATAAATAGAATTAAGAACAAAAACCATATGATCATCTCAATAAATGCAGAAAAAGCATTTGAGAAAATTTAACATCCCTTCTTGATAAAAAGCCATCAACAAACTAGGCATAAAAGGAACATACCTCATAAAAGCCATACATGACAAAGTCACAGCTAGCATTATACTGAATGGAGAAAAGTCGAAAGCAATCCCCATAATATCTGGAACAAGACAAGGGTGTCCATTTTCACCATTCTTATTCAACATAGTA